TAATAACTTATGCAAATGGTGATATCGTTAATTGGATAACAACGTTGTCCGATTCATTTCGGTTTGCCTTTTCAATTCGGATTAATCCAGTTTTTTGTCTCGAGGTCAAAGGTCATGCTTTTAGTGAGGAAAATGACTCCCAGATTTTTGCTTTTTTTTCAAATAATGAAATTCGGTGATCTTCAAAAGTGATTATTTTGCTTGAAAACAACTTCTGAAGCTTTAATTTCACAAAAGACACGAGACTCTCAGCTTCCACAAAAAGTCCCGAGAAATTCCAGTTTCTGTTTTTTTTCGGTTAATTTTTTCATGTAATTAAAAGAGAAGGTAATGTACAAACGTAAATGAAGAAAAAGGAAAAAATAAAAAATATTAATACTTTTATAAACAAGTAAAAAATATTTCGGTCCATTAAGTCATATACATTTCTTACCATTACCACAATTGGGCCTCGTCAGTACGACGATTGTGTAAGTTGCATTTGAGTTTCAGAGTGGCTGATGACATGGGAAAATTACGTTTCCAGTTCCGTTTCTTTCACAAACCACTTTTTGGCTGGAAAGGTTCATTTGTCGTCACTCAGGTAATGTTTTGGCATGTATTTCTTTTCAGAAATTTCCGCCTGTGCATCCAGCCGGGGCTATGCATCCCCTGATCAGAGGCTTGGCATAGCTGCGCTTGGCGTATAATCTAACATGATATAGTAGCCACTCTGATTGTCCGATTGCTTTAGTGTTCATAGTTATTAAGTTGATTTTTCAGATTTTATTTCCGCGAAATACTTGAATTCGATGTTTTTCATCAGCCGAATCCTTCCATTCGAATTGAGTCTTTAAAATTCGAAACTTTTATTAAAAATTTTTTATAAAATGTGGTAACCATTGTAGTGTTTGTTTGTGTGCACTTTCTATGCCGCTGTGGATCAGGTTTTTGTCATACCTATATGAAATGTTAAATAAATGCTGTACATTGACATAGCTTCAGCCGAAAACTGTAAGTTTTCGGCAGATGAATGAGTTTACTAAGTTCATCATTTACTAACCGTTTTCGCCGTCCAAGATGACCTTACCTGTACCTAAGGTTTTTCCTTATCTCAATGCCCTAGCTGGGCCTCACCTACATCTCTTCCCTTATTCTTTTTATTTTTTAATTACTAATTTTTATTTTTTTCTGCCTGATCATAAGAAAGATAGGGGTAAAACAGGACTTGTAATCTCTATTTTCAAGTATGCTTTTTTCAATTTCGGTTCATAAATGCTGTCAAAAAACAACTTTTTCCTTTTTATTAATAGGTTAAATTACGATTTTGAAATTTATTGGGACTTA